CCGCCCTTCCCGTTGAAACTTGCATAACGACTAACCTCATCAAAGCGGTCATGAAGGCGAGTGTATTTTCCTTCAGCGGCTTCTGCTGCCTTTATAGACTCACCGTAGGACTGTCTCGTGTCCGCCAAACTCTGAACAACAATAAAACACCCTACAGAATGGTATTGCAATTCCAAATCTGAAAATCCGACATTTTCGGGTTTAGAGTGTAGGTGACAACCTCCTATCCAGCCTTACAAAGATTTAGTGACAAGTCTGCCTACCTTTCTGACACTTTCCTCGCGCTGCATGCACAACACTTGCTGCCTCTGAGCCTCCACCAGCTCCTCTGAGAGCTTGTCCAGTTGCAACTTCAACGATCGCTTCTTAGCCTGATACACTCAAAGTCGCCATCACCCAATGCGGCCCAGCGACCAACCTCAAGGGCGGCAATGCGAGCATCGACCTCCTTCCTGTCAGCCATCATTGCCTGCATTTGCTCATCAACTCTCTTCTCTTGATTAGCCAGCCCGCTAGCATCACGAGTCTGATCTACAGCAGTAACGATTGTACTCTTTGGGTGGGAAAATTGACCTGAGCATTCTTTTGAGAGCTCATCATGGAAGCCGCCTTCTGAGACGAGCTTGTCGATGACCGAACCTGAGATCACGAGACAGCCGATATTCATCCCTCCTACACTCCTCCCTACCATCCCGTCGCATTTAGTCGCCACATTTTTCTCGTGTTCAGCCCGACTGTCAATAGAAGCCTTCGCATGGTCCTTAATTCGGCTCCATAGGTTAACAAGACCTTCCGACTGAGCTAATCGTGTACCAAACCATCTAACACGTAGAATCGCCACCGCTAGCCGCCGCATGTCAGTCACCTATCCCAGTCGCCGTCCTCAGGGCGCTTGTTAACCGCGACCATCAGCTCTTGGCGGCGGCAATCTGCCTCAACCTGCAAAAAATGCCGCTACTAGGGATCGAACCTGGGTCACTTCCATTACTCCATTGCGCTTCATCTCACTAGTCAGCCACTCTGTGTTCCAATCCTTCTTCAAGCAGTTGGAGAAAATACTCAGAGACCTGCATCATATCGGCAGCAACAACAAACACAGCAGGAACAGTAGCAGCAACAATAACAACAGGAGCAGCAAAAGCAAGAAATTCTCTCACCATGTACAGCCGTCCCCTCCATCCTTCGCTTTCTCAAATGAATCAACTCCGGCAAGTCGACAACTCATCGTTACTTCATTCGTATCCAAATGGTGGAGATACTCCGGCTTAGTAGAGAGTATATGCCCAACTACAGGCTCCCATACTGTAGGAGTCCCATTGAGTAGACCTGTAGAGAATCCACAGGCGTGCCGACGAGACAAAGCTCAAGTGCAGTGTTCATGATACCACTGCACGGTCGCCTGCGAAGCGCGCTATACTGTTGGAAAATATGCACACGGGCAACTACATGTGCTGGT